AGGACCTGCACCCCAGACCTCCTCCTCCCACCTAACCCCTCTCCCAGAGCCTTAGGCAGGTGTGGGGGGGGGTTCTGGGTGCCACCAACATTTCTACAACCCTGCCACCTATGCGAGTTGGATAAGAGTCGGGGCAGTCAGGGGACAGGTAGGGTCCTGGCAGGGGGGGGGCAGTTAGGGTGGGGAGGTTCTCAGCAGGGGGCAGTCAGGGGACAAGAAGCGGGGGGGTTGGGGTTCTGAGGGGGGCAGTCAGGGGGTGGGAAGTGGGAGGGAGTGGATGGGGCAGGGCGAGGGCGGGGCTAGGGCAGGGCTTTCCCTCCCCCCCCCCCGAGTGTCCGCTTTTTTGATTGTGGAAGTATGGTAACCCTAATCAAACTTGATTCATACCCGGGTGAGAGGAGAATCAGGCCCATGCTGTTCACTCTCTTGGTATTGACAATGTAGTCAAGAGCCATGAAAGGGATGCTATTTGTAACACATACCAGGTAAAGGTGGGGAAAACTGGGAGAGACGTTGGGTTTGGAGGACTTCATTGGTAGGGTTTTGCTTTTACAAAGCCCAGACCAGGGACATTTGGATCCAGCTCCCTTATTGTTGTAAATTCTTTAGCAAAGAGTGCCTTCCTAGACTTGTACATCACCTAGTGCATTTTGTGTGCTTCTGTAATGCTTATGTAGATAATTCTCAATGTTTAGGAGTGTGCTTTTGAATAATTGTCCTAGTTTGGCCCATCTCCTAATTTTTCTTCTGCAGATTAAATGTAGCATATGTTTAATACCATATACATCCTCTATCTAGAACAGGGGTGGCTAATCTGTGGCTCCGGAGCCACATGCGGCTCTTCAGAAGTTAATGTGTGGCTCCTGGTATAGGTACCGACTCCGGGGCTGGAGCTACAGGTGCCAACTTTCCAATGTGCCAGGGGGTGCTCACTGCTCAACCCTTGACTCTTTTACAGGCCCTGTACCTCTTCCTGCCCCCTCCCCTGAGCCTGCCATGTCCTCACTCCTCCCCATCCCCACCCCCGAGCCTCCTGCACACCACGAAACAGCTGATCGGGAGGTGCGGAGAGGGAGGGAGAGGCACTGATTGGCAGGGCTGCCGGTGGGTTGGAGGCACTGGGAGCGAGGTGGGGAGCTGATGGGAGGCTGCTGACATATTACTGTGGCTCTTTGGCAATGTACATTGGTAAATTCTGGCTCCTTCTCAAGCTCAGGTTGGCCACCCCTGATCTAGAGGAATACACCCTGCAACAATATGAGGATGATGGATTTAATGGCCTAATAGATTTTTCCATCTCTGCAACTTATTTCCAAATTTTACAAACCCTAGAAGACAACTGATCTCAAGCAATCTCCACTTAATTGTTATGTGGCTCATTTTGCTTTTCATATTACATGTGAAGATCTCCTGTTAAAATAATAGGTCTTTACATGCACAGCAAAGGTCTGTTTTTTCTCTGCAGCTTTTAATGACTTTTCCTAGTCAAGACTGACTCATTGTTAAAGCAGCTAGGTCCTAGGCAGCTTGAAACACACACCAAAGAAGCAGAAATGATTCTTCAGGTTTCTTTGTTGTGATGAAAGTCCTTGCTTGGAAATCAAACTATGAAAACCATCACCACCACTTGAGGTAAATATATATTTGGGAAGAGAGCTGCAAAACTATTGTACATTATTTGTATTCCTTTCAAACCTGCTCAAGCTTTGCTTCCCTCTCAAAATATGCACACAATTTCCACTGGTACCGTGAGATTTATATCCACATTCATGGGGGTGAGCAGACTTCCACCAGTGCCAGGCAGTAGCACAGAGCTCTGTGGCTGCACAACATGGGGCAGCACAAGAAACATAAGGACTGTTCCCCTCTGTGCACTTTCTGAGTGATAGGATCAGTATTGCCTATTCCCATGAATTTATCTTGATTTGCAACAATATTTGAAGTTTTAATTAAAGCTCCTAGAGTCAAGTGATTACATCAGAATTTCAGCTTCCATTAGTTTTTAAGTGAGTTTCTACTCCTCACGGCTGTGGACAAAAGCTTAAAAAATGTGACCTGAAGGCACCTTAAAGGCTCATAAACCAGAAGACAAATAAAAAACCCAACATCTGTATAAAAATCTCATGATTGAGGGGGAGGTGAAGGGGGGCTGACTCATGATTTTTTAACATTTGAGGTTGTCAATACTGCAAGACACCTCAATGGGTGGGGGAAGGAGCAATGGCTCTGCCCTCTACCCCCAAGCGCCAGTTAGTGGAGCTGGCCCGGTGTGGAAGAGGAAGCATGTTGCATTTCCTGAAGGGGTGTAGTACAACCGATATTCACCAGCATGCTGGAGATTTTGGGGAGGAATCCCTGAGGTAGAATTCCTGAGGTGTTCCATATCATCCCAAACATTGGCCTATGCTTAACTGGCACAAGAGAGTCCCTAATAATTGGAAGTTGCTCATCAGAGGGCAATGGATTGTTCTGAAGGGGCCAGAGGACAGATTCAGGAAACACCTTGAGGTTATGGCACTGGAGAAAACTTCTTGTGACTGAACGTTTCTTAAAAATAATTCAGATGCAGTGTTGGGTTTCCTGTTCCTAACTCTAAACCTATTCCTGCAAGTCCTCCCCTGCGCGGACTCCATGTGGTCAATATGAGTTCTACACTTGCAGGGCTTGCTGTATTGGGACTTAGGCTGGAGACTCTACTTACCAATACTGGTGCACTCCATCGTGTGATTGTTGGGTTCCAGCCCCTCAGGGCAGTTTTCAAGGCACTTTCCGTTGTGTAAGTAAAACCCACTTTTACACTTTGTGCAGAAATTTTTGGTGAAGCAGGTATCACAGTCAGCTTTACATTCTGTAATACAAAACAGGAAGAATTATATCCTGTGTCACTTTCACTCACCCCAGTTAGACACTAAGTCCCTGATTTGCATGTATGCCGAGGTTTAGGTTTACGCTTTATGCCACTCTGGCAATGTATAAGGGCCTTCCAGTGAGACTACATTTTATTCATATCCATGTGAAGTCCCCTTTACACTGCGGGAAATGAGAATGAGAATTTGGCCAGCAAGGCTGCATTCAAAACTGCCTTGCACTTTGGGTAGTCATTGAGCACTGTGCAAAGTGGGTGCACAATGCCACCAGATCAGCAGTGTAACGTATGACATTCACGTTCCATTCCCATTGCACGGGGTAAACGACTAGCTAAAGTGCAAGGCAGTGGAGAATCAGGTCCATCAAGTATATCGCTATTCATTCCAGAAGAATTAAAAATGTATTTCAGAATTTAGAATTATTATTTTTTCTTTTCATATTGATTGATTGATTGATTGATTTCTGCTCCATTACTTTTTGTTGCAGTCCCACAACATTTTCCATAATTACTATGTTTATATCATTCATACAGGACAGAAGCCAGCTACCAGACATGGATTTTTAACAATATGATAGAACTTGTATATATACTATTGTGCAAGTGATATACAAAGGACATGGTTACATTTACTATAGTGATACTGTTAGAGAAAAGTGCACAATCATTTGAAGTTGTTTAGTGGCTCGGAGGTTATATGAATATAGGATTATGCTCCAGCATCTACTCATCAAGAAATAAGGAGAATTACTTAGCTATAATTCCTATGTTTTATTTAGTCATGTAGGTGACTAGTAAATAAAGTTGGTCAAAAAGGGTTTTTCTCCAGGTTTTCGTTTCAAATTTCAAAATGTCAAAATTTGTCAAAATTCAAAAAGTATTGATGGGTAGGAGGAAGGAAGAGATGCAAGTAAGGCATCTAACCCCACTGAAAGTCAATGACAGTTCGGCATTTCCCCACAGATGGACAGTTGACCAGACTATAGTAACACGCCCAAATTGCAAAAGCACCATTGTGGTTATGCGGTGCATAGTGTATTGTTACAGAGAGGTCATGCAAAGTAGCTCTGGAAACCTCACTGTGGAGCAGTACTCCTCAGTATCAATCTCTATCTCACGGGGAAACAGAGGTAAGGCTGGGGGATTGACAAGAGCATTGCCAGTGAGTTTATAAACAGCATGGATCTCATGGTCACAGGTTCCATTCTGTGCAGTTGCAGTGGCCCATGTCTGCTGCTACAGCCACTGAGCTGTAGCTGTGGGACTGGTGGACTATACTGGTATCCTTTACCTTTGAATAAGGATGTAGGAGAGGAGTCCATCTCTAGTGCCTGGATAGGTCACCCATACAAAGATTTTTTTACTTAAGCTTTGCCCAGGTAATGTGAATGTCACTCTAAACTTCCACTCAGGTGAATATTAATTGTACCAGCATAAAAAGGCTGAACAAACTAAAGAATCTATCTATCTAGCTAGTATTTAACTTCCTTGATTCACAGGGATACACAATATGAGGTTTAGTCTCATATCAGAAATAGAAAATATAGAGGTACAGCATTGTTTTCCCCAGCACTTACTTGTACACTTATTTATTTCTGGATACCGCGTTCCAAAGTATCCACTTGGACATGAAGAAAGACATACTCCGATCTGTTTCATGCCAATCCTCTCCAGAACAAAAAAGAGTCTGGGTTTGCATGACAAGCATCCATTGTAGTCGGAACATGTGGCACACCCTCCTTGGCAACCCTGGCTCACATTGGGATGCACTGAAAAGACAAGTTATTTTAAAAAGGAGAAAAGAAGAGATTAGACAAGCTAGTGGTATGATGATCCTTTTGTACTCTGAGTGCTGTGTTAAAATCTTATGTGACAGCCTTCAAGGGCTGGTTCATTTTTGCTTCCGTCTCTTATGACCTGACGTTTTGTTTCAATGATATTCTTAGTTGCCTTCATAAAACAGGAAGCTCAGATGATATGTTCATATCTTGCAAGAATAACTAACAGTAAATTACATCTGAAATTGATTTTGTGGTACAGCAGCAACTTGGGGAATAATCAGGATTTTCCCTCAGTAGCAATGGCTTTACTGACCATGCTTGTGTAGGCCTTGTATGTGTTTGGACAGCAGAGCAAAAATAAATAGTTTTTGTGTGTTAACTTACTTGTGCTTTTTATTTCATTATTAGATGATAAAAAAACCCAACAATACTCTAGTCTATAATTTCCTTTATTGTTTAAGTATCTTTTTTAATTGAATTCTGCTGTGTGGGAATGTGGCGGTGTTAGATCTGATGCAAAATTGCCTTGATAAGCAAACACAAAGAACCATCCTGCTCACTTTCATTTTTACACTGGAATGTTCACTCTGGCATGTTTAATTTCTAGCAATTACAACCTGATGTTTGGATTTAACTGTGACATTTAGACTACTCGCATCCCAGCATGGAACAGAGGTAGGAGTTCTACTCCACTTTCAATTGCATCATTCTATTTCTTCAGGAAAAAGAGAGAAAAACTGTATTGCCTCTCACTATAGAGACATACACGTGTTTACTCTGCTTAAAAATATTTGGTTCTTGTAGTACTTACATGCACCAGTTGTTTTTAAAGTAGACAATAGAAAGATATTGTAACATACCTTTTCAGTAGTAGAGAGATATCAGTGAAATATTTCTCAGTGTGATACGGGGTAACAGTGGGGGGAGCGGGGGTGGCGGGGAGGGGAACACGGCACTGTGCATCCTTCAACAGTTTAGAACAAGGGTCGGCAACCTTCGGCACGCGGCCCATCAGGTAATCCGCTGGCGGGCTGCGAGACATTTTGTTTATATTGACTGTCCGCAGGCATGGCCCCCTGCAGCTCCCAGTGGCTGCAGTTTGCTGCAGGGATGTGCTGGCCGCCGCTTCTCGCAGCTTCCATTGGCCAGGAACGGCAAACCGTGGCCACTGGGAGCTGCGGGAGGGCCGTACCTGCGGATGGTCAACATAAACAAAATGTCTCGCGGGCCGCCAGCGGATTACCCTGATGGGCCACGTGCTGAAGGTTGCAGACCCCTGCTTTAGAAGTACTTACATGTTTTCAATTTTTTTCTGAGACACATACTTAAAATGGGATTCTACTCTGAAAAGTGACTATGCATAAAGAGGCCATTTTCAAAGGCAGGAATGGTCAAGTGATTAAGAAACTGAAATTGTTTAAAAACTATCCATGATTTTCCTTCACTGAACCCAACAAAGAGAAGAAAATGAAGCTGAGATATGAAATATTTGTCATCAAAGCTAATGTCTAAAATACATGAGCACTTCTGACAGGAAATATGTGTGAGCACTAGTGACAGGTAGATCTTTATGAATAAGTTCTCTTGACAGAGAAAGCCTTATGTGCAGCTCCACTTAGGGAAACCTATATGTGTGAACCCTTGTGACAGGGAAAAAGTTTTATTATGCAGAGATAATAATTTCTCCATAGTTAAGACAAGACCCATTAAAAGCAATTTTTCAGCTCCCCACTAACTCCAAATATGAAAAATATGCATCGCCACTTCCTCATTTTTTCCCTCTTTCTCATATGTACCAGATACCTGTCACACAAGCAGCATGATAAAAGCATGCACAAGTAATCATATTGTTGTTAACATGAAGAGACCCCACGGGTTGGTCTACACTGAAAAGTTACACTGGCATGGCTAAAACTCTCAGAGCTGTGAAAAATCCACACCCCTCAGTGACATAGTTAAGCAAACCTAATCCCCGGGGTAGACAGTGCTATGTCAAGAAAAGAATTCCGTCAACCTAGCTACTGCCTCTCAGAGAGGTGGATTACATATAGCGATGGGAGACCCCTTCCTGTCGCTATAGTAAGGGTCTACAGCAGCTGCAGCTGGGCCTCTGTGGCATTTAAGTGTAGACATAGCCTAAGGCTGTAACCCAGGCTGCTTTATAATGTTGATTTTGAACCGTGATATAACTATACACAACAGAAAAACAAAGAAACCTTTCCTGTTTTAAAATATACAGTGTTAAATACCATTGAAAAGAAGATGCTTGGACATTTTTGAATAAACTAAGTCTTTTTTTTTAGTTTAAACACCTTAAAATGGATCCTTTTTGAATTTTATTGTCTTCCCTATAGCTACTTAATGAAATTGCAAACTCAAAATTAGAACCATAGGTAGATTGTTATAATGGAGTATGTACAAGGCAGTATTTAAGAGCAGGTTCAGTAAGATGTTTCAGAAATTAATATTACTTGAAAACTCAACACTATGTTCCGTCATGGAACCAGATGGAGAAAAGAAATGAAGGAGGGAGGCTATTTTTGTCATTGATCTCCAAACCAGTCTGGAATACTTTTCAAAACTAAATTGACACTATCAAAGCAACTCTTCGTTGTGGGTAAGAGCTGAGATTACGCAATTCGGACAGCTGTTCCTGGATCCTAACTTGAAATCACACCAAGAGATACGTAATACCGTAAATAATATAAAGATTGTGTATTTAAAATACTTACAAGTCAAAAATAACTGGTTCAAACTGACCCAGGAACAAACTGGAACAAAAGGTTTAATTTCTCAATACATACAATTTTGATTGAAAAAGATGTTGATAAGAACACAACCCAGATGAAAAGCTGGGAGAGGGATTTGAACAAAGAAATTGATCTGCATGAGTGGATGACTATATGGGAAAGGAGATATACATCTTCAATTTGTATTGCTCATATAGATAATTTGTATAAATTACTGTATAGATGACATCTGACTCCAGTTAAGACCCGTCATATTTTAGGGAGGTGCTCTGTTACAAGGGTTGTGAGGAAAGGGGAACATACTTGCACATGTAGTGGTTGTCTCCAGGAATTAGTTTTGGGAGGAAATTATTAGAGATTCATCTTATGAAAAAAAATGAGATCCCCTGACCTGCTGACTTAGTGCTCCAGTAAAGGATCTACCTTTTAAACAGAATGACAAATTCATTTATTTGTTATTGTTAGGAGCTAGACTTTGTATTGCACGTTATTGGAAAAATGTGACTTCTCTTCCTGTGGAGCGGTGGTAGGGTAAAATATGAACTGTCCTTGTGATGGAAAAGCTTTAACGCCAAGTACGTACACAAGAGAAGTGCCAAAAAGAGCAAAGAGGCTCGGTATTTAGAAATTTGGTCACCCTGTTTAGCGTACTCAGAGGAGGAGAGCTCCCCAGCCAGCAAGCCAGAATCTTTATTCTGGTTCTTTGAATATTAACTAGGGTTACCATATTGCAGCCCTGGAAAAAGAGGACACTCCAAGAGGCCCCAGCCCCTGCCCCAACTCCGCCCCTTCCCTGCACCGGCCCCGCCCCAACTCCACCCCTTCCCCAAAGTCCCCGTCCCAACTCCGCCCCCTCCCCTGAATGCTCCGCCCCCTTGCTCCTCCCCCTCCCCTGCTTCCCACGAATCAAATGTTCGCAGGAAGCCTGAAACAGGCAGGCAGGCAGGCAGCAGGTAAACTGGGGCGGCGGGGGGGGAGGGGCGCAAGGAGGTGCGGCGGCCCAGTCCGGCCCCACCCGGCTGAGCGGCTCCCTCCGGCGGCCAGACAAGAGGCTCTAGCCCCGGTGGCTCCAGCCCGGCTCGGGCCCTGGGGCGCCGGCCCCAGTTCCGGCCGAGTGGCTCTGGCCCGGCCCCGGTCCTAGCGACTCCAGCTCAGCTTGGCTCGGGCCCCGGGGCACCGGCCCCGGCCCCGGCCGAGCAGCTCTAGCCCGGCCCTGGCCGAGCAGCACCGGCCGGCGGCTGAGCACCCCCAACCCCGGTCGCTCCGTCCCGGCTCGGCTTGGGCCCCGGTTCTGGCCGAGTGGCTCCGGCCCAGCCGCTGAAGCATCCCCGGCCCCACCGGCCCTGGCCGAGCGGCGCCAGTCGGCGGCTGAGCACCCCCAGCCCCGGTCCCAGCGGCTCCAGCCTGGCTCGGCTCAGGCCCTGGTTCCGGCCGAGTGGCGCCAGCCGGCGGCGGCATATGAGCTCGCAGCCGCCTCCTCCCGGGCTCCGGCGGCTGCTGCGCTGGGGAGAGCGGCGGGAGCCGGGAAAGTTGGAGCCCAGGGAGGAGGTGGTCCCCTTACTATGCCTCCCTATTTTCCCGGACATGTTCCGCTTTTTGGAAATTCCTCCCGGATGGGGATTTGAGGACCAAAAAGCCGGACATATCCGAGAAAATCCGGACGTATGGTAACCCTATATTAACTGATCCTGAATGAGTAACAAGTTATGTTGGATGTTAACATTTTATTGTAGAAAGAAGAACAGGAGTACTTGTGGCACCTTAGAGACTAACAAATTTATTAGAGCATAAGCTTTCGTGGACTACAGCCCACTTCTTCGGATGTGGGCTGTAGTCCACG